TATTTTTAGATAGTTATTATGAAATAATTAATTGTAAACCACACCCACCGCACAGTTTCTTCATGATTGCTCCAAGAAAGTAACAGCAACAAAGACAGGACAGAAGAGCAATAGGAAATATAGTCCTCTAAATAAAGAGGCAACTCAAAGGAAAGGCAAGAAGTTTTAAAAAAGGCACAAGATAATAAGTAGCATTGAAAAATACAGTTAGTGATGCATCAACTACAGTCTAGCAAGAATCCTTGGTGACCTCCTTGGAGTAAAGGAGTTATCTGTGCTGCCAAGTCAGCCAGGAGTGCCTATAGTATCTTCCATCATGAAAAAAAACGGTTCGGTGGGTGTGGTTTACAATTAATTGTTTCATAATAACTATTCTAAAAATAGTATATCCGCTAGACAGAGTTAGCAGGGAAAAAAGCTAATTAAAGTGTGGGCGTTTCACACTCCAACTCCCTTCTTTTATATCATGGGCTCCTGACAGTATATAACCTCCTCCTATTGTGGAGACTCTAAAATAAGGACACCTCTATAATGAGGAGGGGTAGTATCAGTCCCAATACAATAGTAATGTGTATTAATGAACCTCTGAAATAAGGACAGGTTCATAATCAACAGTAGATTATGGTATCTACTGTTAGTATTATTAAATTATTAGTATTGACCGTAAATACATGTGTATAGTACATGTACAATCAACTAGTATTACCTTCCACTCTAATATTCTTGAGCATGTGTATCACTCCAGAGTTCTCCATATCCACTATAGTGCTCATGTGTTCCTTAATCAGCTCATCCTCCACTACCTGTCAATGGGTGGATCAGTAATAGGTAATAATAATTAACAATAACATTTAATTTTAATTTTACCATGTCAATTCCATTTGCTTCATCACATGTAGTTTTTTTAATACAGTGATTATACAGTCATTATAATTCAACATTAAATTATATAGACATGCATGTACATGTACATGTACACATGTAGCTATAGTTACTTTAGTTATTCTTGATTCAGTGCTGGGGTCAAGGTAATGATGAGTTCTCTCCAGTTCCTCCACTAGTCGAGCCTCAACCTTCCTTAGGTACACTGGGGCACTGTTCTCTGCTAGGAGCTTCTGACTCTCAGCCTATCAATAATAATAATAATAATAATAATAGTGTCAATATAGTATAGCCTCTCTTAATGGACACTCCCTATAGCGTACACCTCCATTTAACAGACAGCACCTAGTGTACCAATTACATTCCTTACTGTATAAAATAACCTCCACATAAAGAACACCTCTGTATAACAGAGACACTTTCAAAGTGTCCATTGTATAGAGGCTACACTGGTAATAACATGCACTGTAGTAATAATGTGATGTAGTGATATAATGTATTAATATAAAATATCTGTAGTAATATGGACTTACTTTATAAAACTCTCTTGACATTTGTAGAAATGGTCTCTCAAAGTCTTCCTCATAGACGTCTCTTTTAGAACTGCTCAGACTCAGGCACATTAACATCTTACAAGTACTCTGTATGGCACCTCTATAAATAGAACAATGATAATCTATTAATAGTAACAATGATAATCTATTAATAGTAACAATGACACATGCAGCGTACTACATACATGTACATGTAGTACAGGGACTTTGGTCTAATTTTGAAGCAACTTCATAAATTTGTAAAAAATCTAATTTTGATCGGAATCAGCTCAAACTTTCTACACAACATAAGAACATGTATATGCATCAGAAAATGTGATAAAAATTGAGAATTCTCTACTTTTCCTTTTTGGCAAAATTTGATCCGAGACCCTGTACTATAGTACAGGGACTTTGACCCGATTTTGAAGCAACTTTAAAAATTCATAAAATTGATGAATCAACTACACCCACCTATCAACAATCTCTCCTTTCCTCTCTTTATCCACTAGTTCTAATAATAGATTCTTCATGTGTTCTCTAATTGAATGATGATGCAACACCTAATGACAATAATAATTAATTATAACGAGGCCACACCCCCAGCCCCACCCACCTCATCCTTGTATAGTACCAGTCCTAAATCATAAACGTTGAGTTTTTCATTTCCTTGAACATAAACACGATCCTATTAATAATAATAATAATAATAATAATAATAATAATAATAATAATAATAATAAATAAATACTAAATAAA